CGGCAAATTGTATGTTGTTGATGTCAGCTTCATGACCAGCAAAAGCTGCTAATGGCAATTGTATTGCTATTGGCAAGACCATCAACAATATACCAATAATATCAAGAATCTTAATATCCATTGATTTTTTAGCATAACTGATGTCATCGCCTTCCTTACGAGTTAACTTAAAGTTGTATTGAAATCCACTTGGTGTAGAATATACTTTTTGATTTTATGAGTGAATGAATGAATTAATGAATATATTGCAAATTTAACGAGTGTAATTATTATAAATATTATTATTATTAATCATTACCTAAACTTATGAGATAAAGTATTCCGAGTGAGCTTAGCATTTCATCCGATAAATGATGTACAACTATAATAAAACGATTTATAATTAGCATGTCTTAATATTAACATCAACTCACTATTTAGTAATAATTACGTTACCTTCTGCCCACAAAACGCTGGGATATAATTCCAGTATTAAACAAGTAATGTTAATTGATATAACTATACGTTAATTGATTAATTGATTGATTGATTGTTAAATTAAAGCTTTCATCTTTTAGAAAAAATTTTTTTAATAAACTTACATAAATGATAAAATATTATTAATAAATGATAAGTATGAATTGATCTTGGTCTTAATAGACCCCTGTCTCTTGTCGAAGACAAGAAAAATGATTGCTTCTTGAATTTAATAAGATGAAACAACATTATGGCTGAAATAGTCGTTATTAGAACACAAAATGGTAAATTTATCAAGTTAATCGTTATCCAAAATTTTTCTTGTTGACATTCATAAATATTTACACGGAAATCACACCAACACGTTTCCACAGTATCGGTTTTTTTACAAGCTAGCGTGTAATCATTTATGATTCTAACCATTCTCCAAAGTCTTTTTTTTTTATTTGAAAATTTTGGATATTGCGTTATTACTATATTTTGAGTTATTTGAATTTTCCGTCTCTTTTTATATTATATACAAGTGTTATTTGTCTTCATTAATAAGAAAGACCATTTCTAGTAAATTAAATTTAAAATAAAAATATATTAATTAAGTCATGTGGTAAATTTTTACCCCACTGTTAAAGACTTTGCAAAGACCAATTAAAATAAAAAAAAGATAAAAAAGATCAAAAAATTTATTGTGTATTTTATTTTTCATAATAATTTAAAACGTATTAATATTAAGACAAATATTAGTATGGCAGAAAAACTAACTAACTCAAATTAAAATAATGCTGTACAATCGGGTTTTTATTAATGCATAATTTAATAATGACAAAAACTTAAATGTCTTTTTAATATTATTTATTAACATTTCCATGTTTTATCATCACTTTTTCCGAGAATTTATAATAGTAATTCAAGTAGTGGTTATATCCGTCGGATATCCGACGGATAATACTAAGATAAAGTTACAACGACGAATTTTAAAAACTGACTATTTGTCTACTATTGAAAAAAACAAATAGACGTGTTTATTTGACTGTAGAACAACTTTTACTTAGCATGCAAGGCATATTTATTCATGTAGCGTAAAAAAAACGTAGTTATTATCTAAACATAAAACTAGTCAACTATGTCATGAGGAGCAGTATTCATTCAAATTGATTTGACTGTTCAATATAATTAATTTGACTCCAAAATTGATTTCCAACAACCATCTACTTCAAAAAATCTTTTAAAAAATCTTAGTTGCGATTCTTATAATTAGCAATCACTAATATTTTGCCTTTTTTGGAGGCTTGGTCATTTTTATTATGATAATTATTGGAATGGTATATATTGTATACAATATCACTTGGATTAAAATAGTGGTAGATTATGCAAAGAACTAATTCCTTCTTCTTTTGCTGCTCTTTAGTGCCTTTAGGGGTTGCACTGTTAACCGGTTAAGATATTTTTTTAACTGATTAATTCTTTTTGGTTAACCGATTAATCACCATTTATTAAATTTATTATTATTATTACAGTCAAACCTTGTCACAGTGGATTTCTTGAAAAGCAAGTTATAAATTAAGCACTCTAGTGTATAACTTATTTTTAAATTTATAAAAAATTGGTAGAATTTACACAGTTCACTCTCTCTGACTGTCCTTTTACTTGTTGCTTCAAATGCGATTCCATTATGCTTTACATGGGTGGTTTAAATAGTAATAATCATCCAAAAGGATCTATCTACCTCGGTTACATTATTAAAGTATTTTCCAGAATATCATTTTGATTAAGAGGTTATTATCATGTATATATGACAAAAATTATTGCGAAATGGTGACAAATATACAAGCATATTCATCGTTAGAAATAGACGACTTTTTTATATTAAAAGATATATATTTTTCAATTATTGGGCATCATGTGTTTGAAGAACCAATTTTTTGTAAATAATCAACTATGTATATTTATTACTAGCAACCAACACAGCAAAAATTGTTCACTACGATGTTTGCCTTTTGATTTTGCTCTCATGCTTCCCGAAAGGTTCAGTTTAATAAAGCCAAGGAACAAAGATTAGTTTGATATCAAATTTGAAATTTTCATATTAATATTTTTTAATATTGATTTTTAAATGCATAATATATAAATATATAAAATAATGATCCATAGAAAATTCCTTTTTGGAAAACAGTGGTTAATGAGTTTTGAAGATTTTCACATATAAGAGCCTTTCTTTATATTACAATGTTAATAAAAACTTTTAACATTTTTATTCTTGTTGAAGAAATGGATTTGGAATTTCTTCCATTCCATCAACTGGTGATATTAATATTACAGCAGGTCCACGACAAACTACTAAACCAAGTGATCTTGTCTCATTTGAAAGTCTATTATCCTCAGGATCTTGAAGGAAAGATGGAAATATTTTTATTGTTATTTGTTTATTATTGAATTAATTATAATATCAGTAAAATTAATCAATCAATCAATTAATTATTATACCTCTTAATAATTCTTCTGTTTCATCAAGTACAAGATTCAATAATTGATCATAACCTTTTAATGATCCAATAACTTGAAAAAAATAATGATAAAATAAAATTTAATCATCTTTGTTACTCAACTCATTATCATTATCATCATCATCATCGTCATCATCATTACCTTCGCGGCCACCATTATATTTTACGCGTATTTTTTTATCCATATATTTTGATAAATCTAGTATTGATTCTTTTTTAGGTTTTTGATCTTGACCAAAGCTTGCTCCACCCCTGCCTCCTCCACCTGATCCCATACCACCACCTCTACCACCACCTCCACGTGAAAAACCGCCTCTACCACCACTTCTTCCCTGTTATCGTTTGAAATTTACAATAAAAGAAAAAAACTGTTTAGAATTCTATTATAATTGTTGTTGTCATTATTATTAAGTAGTAGTAATAGTAATAGTAGTAGCCTTACTCTTTCTGTCATAATTAATATTATTATTTGTTATTATATATAATTTAAGAGTTTTTTTGGTTGCTGATTACCAAAAAAATAAATGCAAAGCTATATAGTTCTCGAATTGGACCTTTTTTTAAAATTTTTTTTGTGCAAAAATTGATTTTTAGTCACTTGATTTGTCACCTGATACCCTGATTATTAAATTCACCCATAATTAGTAACAAATAATATTGAGCTGATTTTAATTTTAAGATGCTTCCCGAAAGGTTCAGTTTAATAAAGCCAAGGAACAAAGATTAGTTTGATATCAAATTTGAAATTTTCATATTAATATTTTTTAATATTGATTTTTAAATGCATAATATATAAATATATAAAATAATGATCCATAGAAAATTCCTTTTTGGAAAACAGTGGTTAATGAGTTTTGAAGATTTTCACATATAAGAGCCTTTCTTTATATTACAATGTTAATAAAAACTTTTAACATTTTTATTCTTGTTGAAGAAATGGATTTGGAATTTCTTCCATTCCATCAACTGGTGATATTAATATTACAGCAGGTCCACGACAAACTACTAAACCAAGTGATCTTGTCTCATTTGAAAGTCTATTATCCTCAGGATCTTGAAGGAAGACGGAAATATTTTTATTGTTATTTGTTTATTATTAAATTAATTATAATATCAGTAAAATTGATCAAATCAATCAATTAATTATTATACCTCTTAATAATTCTTCTGTTTCATCAAGTACAAGATTCAATAATTGATCATAACCTTTTAATGATCCAATAACTTGAAAAAAATAATGATAAAATAAAATTTAATCATCTTTGTTACTCAACTCATAATCATCATCATCATCATCATTACCTTCGCGGCCACCATTATATTTTACGCGTATTTTTTTATCCATATATTTTGATAAATCTAGTATTGATTCTTTTTTAGGTTTTTGATCTTGACCAAAGCTTGCTCCACCCCTTCCTCCTCCACCTGATCCCATACCACCACCTCTACCACCACCTCCACGTGAAAAACCGCCTCTACCACCACTTCTTCCCTGTTATCGTTTGAAATTTACAATGAAAGAAAAAGACTGTTTAGAATTCTATTATTATTATTTATCATTATTATTATTGTTGTTGTCATTATTATTATAGTAGTAGCAATAGTAATAGTAGTAGCCTTACTCTTTCTGTCATAATTAATATTATTATTTATAATTTGAAAGTTTTTTGGTTGCTGATTACCAAAAAAATAAATGCAAAGTTATATAGTTCTCGAATTGGACCTTTTTTTAAAATTTTTTTTGTGCCTATATTTGTCAATTTGGTCCAAAAATTATTTTTAGTCACTTGATTTGTCACCTGATACCCTGATGACCTATGATAGTAACAATAATACTGAGCTGATTTTAATTAAGAATTTTAAAATGACTAGCCGTCTCAATTTAACTGTAAATCTCATTTCAATAGGCCAATTAAAGCCACACTTGTATTATGGTGTAAACTCAAGAGAATGGTGGGTTATGAAGAGTAAAAATAAACTAGAAGAAGGCACATTACTTTATCCAAGGAGAGTTTGTTGGGAAACAAGCATAGAACAAAATGGCAGACAATACTATATGTGATTTACATGGATAATATTGAATCACCAGTGTTTTTCTTTGGATCTACACCATCAAAAGTATGGGAAAATGCAAAGATTTATAAAAATTCACTGGAATGCAGTTGTTTGGGTTGGAACATCCAATGACCAAACAAAATATTCAAATTGGTAAATTCCTAGATGTACACCCTTTACCTTGGAATAATGAAAAAATTATGTATGCTATTTTCAATTATCATTTGAAAAAAAGAACTCCTAATATTGACTGGAGAGCAGTTTTTAATCTTGGCTAGAACAAAAAAGCACAATTATTGACTGCATGGAAAATTAAAAAATTTATATCCATACAATCATGAATTTAGGGAACGTGAAATGAGAGCATGGCATGCAATGTTGAGGGTTACTGGATGTACAGAAATCACACCAGTTTCAATAGACAAGTTAGAGGTAATTTTTTATTTAGTTTTTATTCTAAACTCATAATTTCCAAGGTTTGCATGAGTATTTTTAATTTCTTTATTTTCACTGAAATCATTTGCTTAAAAAACCAATGCAAATCAATCTCGAGCCAGGATTTAAAATTACCTTAAAATTAAAAATATTTTATCATTGATTTGGACTAATACAAAATTTTTTGATGAATTTTAAGCATGAATTTTGGTCTCAAAGCTCTGATCAATCAGTTGATTAAGATACCTTGGAGGTTTTAAATAGTAATGGCTTTTTGAATGTGAAAAAAAAATAGATTTCATTATGGCTGAAATTTTTTAATAAATCATTGGAACAATACAAAACAGGCTATGATGGTAAAATAAGAATATTGTCAATAATTTCAAGCAAACTTCAATATGAAGAAAACTCAAGGTAAGTTTATTTTAATATGCATATTTGAACTACATTTCATCATTGCATTGGGTGGCATTGAACAATGTTAATGGCCCAATGGATTAATGAATTAATGATGGTTTTTATAATTAGAGAGTTCTCAAAATATTTAAATTCCCCAGATTTGATAACCTAGATGATGATTTTTTGTTAGAAATAAATTTTTGAATTAGTAACATCATTAGGATTAAACATTGTTTAATAACATCATACTTTGATGTTGATTATTTACAATAAAGTATATCCAATAAAATAAATTTATTACTGCCTAAGTTCATTAGAATGTACATAAACATCCTAACATTCTTATCAATAGTAATGCCATTAATGATTAAATTGCAATAATCTGAATAAAATAGGCCTCATCCAAAACAATATCCAAAGCAAGATTGCATTCTGAAGTTAATGGTCCAGGATGCGCAGGAACTGAAAAACCAATAATTACAAGAGTTTGAATTACAAAAGAAGCTAAAAGACAATTTGAAATTTTTTTTGCTGACAAAAATATTGTCAATTTAAGTTCTTATAGAGTAAATGAAAAAACTGGTGATCCTGTAAAATATTTGAAAGATCAAAAAGAAACATTGTGGAGAAAATACTTTGAACTACATCCATCTGGAATGAAAAGGACATCATTTTTAAAACGCTTGAATGATGGTTCTTTTGTATATAAGGAAGATATGGGAGGTTTGTGTGGCATTTGTTTTGAGTATGGGTATGGTGTATTTGATGATGTGAAAATCCTAATATCAGGGAGAATAAATGAAAAAGATCATCAGGTGAGTAAATGCTTTATAATAGTTATATTTAACAATCAAATACTGAAATAATTTCATATATTGTTAGAATCAATTAATTGCAGAACTTGAATCAATCCAACGTCATTTAAAACGTGAATATGAAAAAGAACTTGAAGTGGATTGCCTAGGAAATACTTATCATGTTGAATGTCTTGAGCATTGTCTTCCATATGCTTTTGGACAATGTACCAATCCCCATATTTCTAACTGTAACCAATGCAATAAGATATCAAAATGGTTTCATCAACTAATGCAGGTTATGCCAAATGATTTAGAACAAATTATTAATAACAGAAATAAGCTTCAATATTATTGGTCACACCAGGCAAGAAAGACATACCTTAATGCTCAATTTAATGCTAACTTGCTTTCTCTTGATGAGGAGGGTGCAATCATTGTAGTTGATTATAAAATGAAGATTTTACCACAGTCAGCTCGTGAAGCAAAATCTGATTTTTATGGGAAATCTGGATGGACTCTACATTCAATGTTAGTTTACACCAAACATAACAATGATTTAGAAATTCAAGCTTTTGATCACTGGTCCTCAGATACAGCCCAAGATGCTTGGTTTACTGCCTCATGTTTTGAAGTTGTATTTAACACCCTTGAAAAAAAACCAAAATGGATAAAAATTCTATCTGATAATGGTGCACATTATCATTGCTCCGAATTGATGGCTATGATTGCAAATTGGAAAATTTGGTATGAGGTGGATGTTCATAGTTGGACCTTTTTGGAAGCAGGGGAAGCCAAAACAACAATAGATTCACATCATGCTCAGGTTTATAATTAATTGCTAATAATAAATTTATTATAAATAAAATTAATTACTTATCTTTCCCTTAATTCCACAGGTATCACATGCAATTAAAAGATATGTTAGGCTTGGACATAATATATCTGAAGGACAAGATATAGTAGAAGCTGCCAAAGAGATTAAAGGAACATCAATTGCAAATATTGAGCCTGATCGTAAGCACAAAGAAGAAAAAAAACCTATAATTCCTGGAATTTCAAATTGGTTTGAATTCCAATGGCCAGTTGAAGGAGAGTTTTCTGGTTTCGTTCGTGGTAGAGCTCTTCCAAATTTTGGAAAATGGAATGATTTCTCTCCTGAAAACATTCGTAAATCAATGAAGGGAGGTGAACAACATAGGCCAAATCCTCAAATTTCCACACATACTGACTCCCAGGCTCAATGGATAACACCAATGCCATCAACAGGTTTGAATTAGTAATTTCTTCTAAATAAAACAATAAATAAAAAAAAGTTTTTATTTTCCATATTCAAATATATTAAAATACATCATCATTAAAATCTATGTCTCAAATTACCACTTATTTTTTAGAACCAGGTATGGGATTGGATAAATTAAAGAAAGATGATATTAAAAAAATGTTGGATCAAAGAGGCCTAAATTATGATGAAAAAAATAATCAATCAGATTTAGTTGCACTTTTAAGAGCAAACATTGAATTTGAAACAGATAATAAAATAGAAGGTAATAAAATTATTTTTCTAAATATCTACCAACTTGGCTAATTATGTTTTTATTATCTAGAA